TGCCCCCACCTGCCCCCGGGCACTGCCCACCTTGTGCTGGCGCAGTAGGAAGGGCAGCAGCATGAGCATGCCCCCGTCATGCACTATCCACCACACGTCAATGCTTCCCTCACTGAAGCGTTCCTGGTTTTGCGGGAACAAGTCGATGTTCTTGGCTACCAGCAAGGCCTGCTGGGCCGCTGTGGTGTCACGGACAGTGTCTGTGGAGAGAAGTGGCAGCAGCAGGTCACTGAGGGTGGACTGACCCACGACCGCATGGAGGCAGGGTTTCCATGAAGCCCCCGCCCAGGGCAGGCATTGAAGGGCCCTCACATCACCGGGTCCTCCTGGCCCAGATGCAGACACTATGTGTCACAGGCTGGGGACCCCCAACTTGGGGACAGGGCTCCAGGGAGGGGAGAGCCTCAAGACTGCCCAGTGGCCATTTACTTGGCTGGTGACAGTGTGGCTCAGGCCTTCCATGGCCCCAGGGAACACGCTCGGGCCTGGAGACTGAGACCCGAGTGGGGAGGGACCACACCCAGCAGGGCCGCRGGGTGCTGGCTGCCACACCCACCGACAAAGTTCTTCCAGGAGAAAGGGTTGTCCTCCTGCTTCCAGGACCCGGGCCAGGCCATGAGCACCGTGTTGTGCTTCATGCCCCCCAGGCCTGCCGACTGGATCAGGTGCGACATGCCGTCCCGCAGGTTGGAGGACACCACCAGCTGGCAGAAGCCCTTGGTCTTCTCCAGGCCCATCAGGAACCGGATGTTCTGCAGGAGACGGAAGGGATGCCTAAGAGCAGCCAGACCAGCACGCACCAGGGGCCCCCACGGGACYCTGGCCTGCAGCCATCAGCTGTGCACGCACAGTGAGGAAAATGGGCACAGCAAGCAGGTGTGCACGATACCACCAGGCACAGGTGCCGAGGAGGGTCACCTGCCCCCAGCGGTTCTTCAGAGCTGCGTCGCCCCACATCACCATCAGGGGATCTGGGMCCCGGGCCACATGCCCAGCACACTGACACTACCCGAGTGGGTCAGCAGGACCTAATGACTTCTGCAGAAGAATGCGTGGGGGTCCAAGAACAAGAAGCTGGACAACACCACTTCACTGCCTTTCTGCCAGGGCTGCGTCTGCCCGGCAGCGACCCCCAGCAGCCAGACGTCAAGGGGAGGCTGGACACGCACGATTCATGATATGTGCCCCTAAGCGTGGCTCCTGCCCTAGCCGTTGGACTCCTGGGACCCATGGGGCTGGGCTCTGGCAGGCTGGCTCCAAACTTGTGCTCCTGGTCCTCCCAGCCTCGCCCTGTGGATCAGTAGTGCCTGCCACAGGGACCCGCTGTCCACATCTCCAGCAGAGAGACCCTCCGAGTCTCAGGACACCCAGGGGGGTGCAGAAGCAGGACTGGATGGGACTGCGGCTGAGCTGACGCAGCAGCAGTTGGACCTTTTGGTGACATCTCAATGTCGTGAACATTTTGCACACGAGATGTGAACTTGGGGGGTCATAAAGTGGACYGTAGAGGGTTAAATGGTGGCCCCAAAAGAGATGGCCATGTCCCAACCCCAGAACCTGAAGATGTGACCTTATTTGGAAGGTGTCCTTGCAAACGTGGCTGGAACTCTCATGGTGGGAATGCCGATCACCTGCCTGGACCCGAGTCCAGCAGCAAGTGTCCGTGTAGGAGTCGGCAGAGATGGACACAGAGAAGGGCTGGCAGCAGGGAAGACGGAGGCCAGACTGGAGGGACCAGCCTAGAGCCAGACCCGGCAGGAAGCAGTCTCGGGGCGCAGCCTGGCCACCCTGCACCTCAGACACTGTCTGCAGACCCTCGACAAGCTACTTCGGGCCACGTGAGGCTCACGTGGGGGCCGGGGCCACGGCCACCTCTCTGCCTCCTCTGTGCAGTTCCAGCTGCCACCTGCACCAGCCCTGCAGTGACATTACTGGGCTTCACAGCTCACCGGGGCTCCCCAGCCACGTACCCAGCAAAACCCTCCCTCTCCCTMCCACCACCTCCAGGCCTACTCTCTGGATGCCTCTGTCACACACCGACCCCCCAGGGCAGGGCAGAAATGTGGGGACCACAGACACGCTCCCCCTGAGAATTAGCTCAAGTCAAAAATCGCCCAACACGCTGCCAAGGGGAGCCGGCCGTGGGCAGCCCAGGGTCTTCAGGGATGGAGCAGGACGCCCACCAGCCATGTCTCAGCCAGGAGGCCACCGCAGTGCATCGGTGCCCCTGCCGCAGGCTCTGGACAGGTGTCCACAGGCAGGGTTCTGGGCTAGGTGAGCAGAGGGACCACACCACGCCCTCTCCTCGTGCCRGCAGAGCAGGGAAGAGGGCTTTGACACCAGGGTTCCACGAGTCACACGGAGCAGAAGCTTTTGTGACTTACAGACTTTCTGAAATCCTTCTCGATTTTATGCCACTGACTTAAAGTCGGATTAGAGCACACAGCTCCTAGGGAAAGCATGTCAGCCCCTGACGCTGGCTGGGGACAGATGGGCCCTGGACGGCTGCTTCCTGCCTCTGCTGATCAATGAGGAGGCCAGCTCTCAGGGGGCCGGTGCCTTCCTACTACGGCTCTCAGGGCCACCGGCCTGGGCCTCCCCTTGAACCAAGCACATCCCCCTCTCAGGCCCTTTAAACACCTGAGCTGCCCGGGACGAGGTGTGGCGCACGGCAGACACTTGCGTGAGGCCCTGGTGCCGGCCCCCACACCCAAGAAGAAAGGCCATGCTCAGGTATGGGCCCAGGCCRTTCCTATAAAGGGCCAACTGTTGGGCCAGATGCAGGGAGCCACCAGGCTCAGCCACCAGAGGAGCCCCCGGGGACCCGACAGGAGCCGTCAAGCTCTGGGACAACAGCCCTGGGTTAACTCTGGGTTCACAGCAAGGGCAGCCGGGGTCCAGACCCACAGAGTGCCATGAGCTGAGCGCCACTGGCCTCTCCTGCCTCCCCCAAGGCTCTGAGCCTTGGAGTGGCCCGAGGCTGGTGGAGCGGCGATGCCTGACCTCAGCAGCTCCCCAGGCTTGTCCACAGCAACCCTCTTCCCAGTCTCCCCTCCACAGGCCACCAGCCTGGACTGAACTGAGTGCTGGGCTGAGCACGTGGACAGCAGAGGGCGCCCTGAGGACATGCCAGCAAGATCAGGCACTCCTGGCCCCCAGGGAAAAGGTGGACACACCTACTGACCCAGAGGGAACAGTGGAAGGGCCTGAGCTGGTCTGCACCAAGGCTCCACAAACAGACCCAGTTCCAAATGACACACATCACAGGGAGGGGCCAGCAGGTGACAGGACCCGGGCTACAGAGGCAGCCGAGGCAGGTGGCCCCTATGCCTTGAGGTTTGTGGCTCCCCCAACACACAGGTGCAAAGGTAGGAAATGAAGAACCGTCGTGGGAACCCAGGTGTCACAGAGCCACCAGACCAGGGCCAGCAGGAGTCAGCACAGCACTGAGCCCGGGAGGTGCAGGTCCCACACCCCACTCTGTTCACGGAGCTGGGATGGGCAGAAGCGGGCAGCGGAGGCCTCACTTGGTCAAGCTGGTGGTCCAGACCCCGGAGGAAGRCTGGGCTGTGGCGAGGGGCTCCAGGTGCAGAGGTCAAGGCTGGGCAGCCCCTCGGGGTCTCCGTGCAGCCCCTCGGGGTCTCTGCGCTKCATAGGACTGGGTCCCTCCGGTTCTCACGCCTGCCCGTTCAGACCTGCAACCTGCCCTTGTGACGCGAATGGCCAYGCKGCACACAGGACTGTTTCCCCCGTCRAGGCAGAGGGCACACTGGTGGCCCTCYGTGTGCCACACCCCGTCCTCTGCGCACACAGCCACCTGCCCACGCACCTCCTCAGCCTGCTGGGCCTCCAGGTGCTGGTCCAGGTAGGTGCCCTCCAGCACTGAGCCCACGATGGTGAGGCCCTTGCCGGCCTTCAGCTGTGAGGCGAAGGACAGCAGGCGGGGGTGCTTCACACAGCGCTGAGCGTCCAGGTTCAACATCACCAACACCTGGGGCCTGAGGGACAGCAGTGACCATGGCAACATGTAGCTGGACTCAGCCATCAAYGGGAAGGGCAGGGGGCGGGTGCCAGGCTGTGTCTGAGGTTCCTGGAGCATGAGGCAGGGCCTCCACTACTGGCCACGCAGGCCAGAGCCTGCAGGGCAGGTGACAGCTCCTGGAGGTGAGGTGGTCCACAGGGTGAGCGCAGAGCCAGCCGCCACACCCAGAGCAGGGACCAGCAGGGACACTCTGCCCTTCTCCAGCAACTCTGCAGGGGGCCTGGGGGGGTGGGTGGTACTGGGGACCCACCCTCGTGACCCAGCCTCTGTGGTGGCCCCAATAAGACCCATCCCAAGGGCTAAGGGCAGAAGCTTTAGGACAACAGCTTCCCAGTGAGGGTG